GTGTATGGAAAATTCATTTGTGTGTTGTGATGGGAAAAATATATAATAAAAAATAAATAAATAAACTATAAAAAAAAGAGAGAGAGAGAGAGGAGGATAGAGAAAGATAGCAAGTGAACAATGGAGAGGATATTAGTGAGAAACAGATATGGTTTATTGTCTGTTGATGATGACATGTATGGTATTCTCAACTGGACTGGTCTGGGAAGTATTTCATGATGGGTGAAATCTTTTGACAAGCAAAATGAGAAATAGTGATTGACTGTTTTTAAAAAAATTATAATAATAATAATTATTGGGAAATGCATGGAAAGGACATTGAATGATAAAGCGGGGAGATTGATGTCTCTGTATTGACCGACATGCATGGCATTCCCTTTTGAAAAAGCAATGGAAGTCAATGTAAAGTTATATGTAATCCAATGTAATATAAAGAAGATTATGATGATAATATAAAAAAAAAGAAAGAAAAAAAATGCAAAAAAAAAATCAAATAAACAAAGAAACAAAAAACCCAACAACCAAAAAGCACAATGCTAGCCATATATCTGAGTGAGTGAGTGGATGAATAAATGCAGGGCAGAGTGGGTCACAGCCCCTGTTCTAATGTATGTCTTATTCTTCAGCCGAGTCTCCCCAAGTAGAGGGACACCTGTCTCCTCTAAGAAGCACTTCACACAGCTCTGTGAGTAATGCCTGCAGTGACTAGTCAACTTTGGCTTTAAAAACACCAAAGGTGATGTGGTGGTGAGCTTGGCGAGGACAGAGTTCAGCGGCTACGAATGGACAGTTCTGGACTGCATTCGCCCTGTTTACAAAAACGCCTCTTGCTTTTGTCTTCCCATGTCTGGAGAGAGTGAGGTTTTCATTTTAGGAGGCTCACTACAAAATGCAGGCCCGCTTCCTGGGCAGGCTTCCAAGTGACTACATCTTTCTCACAGCGTTTCCCAGAGCCCCAGCCCAAGCTGCCTGGGCGGGGCCTCCAGCCATGGCTGGCTGTACCACAGGAGCAGTTATCTGCAGCCCGCCAGAACCACGGTGCTTTTAGGCCTTGCAGGGCACAAACAACGGCCTTAGCCTCTGCACGGAAGAGCCACCAGAGTTTGTGATTGGCCAGGCTGGCGTGTGTGATATATAGGACATGTCGTGCCACGCTTCTTTGTATGGCATTCCTTCCAGTCGAGTACCCCGGGTGTGGGTGAGTCAAAATGTTTGAACACTGACTCTTCAGAGCTGGGCATCGTGGCTTTCCAAGGGATAATCTGGCATATTTCATAACCCTGCTGAGCCTCAGTTTTCTTTTCTGTGAAATAGGGGAAGTAGTATTCTATGCTATAGAGTAAGTACCTGGTGAAGCCTGAAAGAGAGAACATATTTGGCATAGAGTAGACACTAACAAGTCCTTATTATTTCTGAAGCATCAGTTAAAAAAAAAATAGATTTCAGTGACAATGCCCTGTCTTTACTTTTAAGAGTACTATGTTTCTCTAAGAGGGCCAGCTGGTGGTGTAGAGCTTAAGGTGGCTGGATCCCACATGGCCAATTGCTCAGTTCAAGTCCCAGAACTGGAGGCTTGAAAAACACATTGAGACTTTATGTGTGTGGCCAAAATCCCAAGAAAAGAATGGAGGAGAAGGGATGGCTGCATGGCCATTCCTCCCCACCGGGGGTGGGTGAGTGGTGGTGGTGGTGGTGGTGGTGTTTTCTTCCCCTGCCCCTCCCCCAGCAAGTGCACATGCCCTATAGCAACTAAAAAAAAA